AGGCACAGAGTAATTTACACCAAAGTTGATATCAATGTACTTGAAGATTATACGATCAATTTATGGTTGTTTGCTCAAACCCAACTTCCAAATTAGAGGAGAGAGGGTGGCGCCAGCTGATCAGTAGATATGGTGGGGGTAATTAAGTTTATTAACCCCATTCTGCAGGAACAGTAATATACAACTTGAAAGCTCGAGATAATTCTGATTTTTATGTGGGCTCAGATCTTTATCTTGAAAAAGATAATAATGAACGCCTAGACAGATCATGCTTCTGCCTTTAAATATATACCATTCACTCAGGCTTTGTTGAGATGTGACCGTGTGGGCTCTGCACAGATTTATGGGACATTTTATAAATTAACTTGCTGTCCATTGTCGGATCTATGAATACCGCTTCATAATGTCTTGTCTCATTCATTTTCTAATAACGTCTTTACTCGATCCTCATTATATTCCATCAAACCCAACATTTTTTAGCTCTTTATGAATTTGATTCGACTTATTCTATTCCTATTCTCTGTAGGGTACGGTTGTGCACCAAATGCACAAAAGGGCATAACATATAAAAAAACCGGCATGAGGATAAATGTATTAAAACCAAAAGTGGACATCATGACAGAACGAACTATAGGGGTAGCATTATACATTGCAAATGACCGTTGTCAGCCTAGGGAGTTTCCTTTATTAATACATTCATTAATGAGACTCGCACTTACCTATTTCGTTACACTTTATTGATTCACCTTACCACTTTTACCTTTCTAAAACAGCTTCCAGTCCCTTGTAAACGTTGCACTTGCCTCAATATTGGTTGGTCATCCTATGCCGACAACCACGGGATGAAAACGAAACGAAGTCGATTTTCCCGCTCAACCTGGAGGACAATTGTACAATTCAATAACTATACAGCCTGGTTAAGACAATGAGTGTATTTATATATATATCAAAAATTTCAACTGTTGAAACATTATTAACTTGTAGACAATCTACGATTTGATATTATATCATACTTGATCGTGCCTGTAAAAATGGCATGCATTTTCATGTAAATTTATATGTTTATATGAGAATATACATTATTATTATTATATTTTCGCGGAGACATCGATACACCAGTCATCGTGTCATCGGTCGCTGTTCAGAAAGTAGTCAGGCAAAACTGTCAGAAATAATATTGTGATTTATTATTGTAATATTTTTTCATAGACCTTAGTTAAAGCCTAATATTAAAGTTGGCTATATGTTGGTGTTACAATAAAGAAGTCTCGAGTAGCCAATCTGTGTTCTGGTCTTTGCGCCCGTTCGTACTAAGCGTTTCTGAGTGGCTTCAAGGAACAGCGTGAGCCCGAGCGTAGCAAGAGCTGGGCATTTACGGTTTATGAGACCTGGCTGACAACTTTGTGACTGCTTGGAGTCAGTCTATGTGGATATCTGACAGTTGTTGACAGTTTGGATAGTCACCGGCACCGGCAAAGTCTTCTTTCAACAAGCAATATCTCAAACGTTTTTGGAATTGGGTCAAGTTCAAAAATACCTGGGTCAAAGAGGGGACAGAGCACCTTGGATGCAAACAGGAAAGTAAGGCATGGTGACTTGTCAGATACTTGCACAGATGTGCCTAATGTTAGCCCTGACATGGTTGATGTTAATGTTTCGCCGTCTAGCGATAGCAGGATTATAAAACTACCTAAGTATGAACCCCGGCGTTTCGCGGAAATCCAGCTGACTATCCACAGTTTGTAAAGTAGTTTGAAATCATGTTGAGTAGTTAGTTATTAAATGATTAAATGCAGTCGATGTATTTGATGAGGTATTGCACTGGAGATGCTGCAAGAGCTACACAGTGCTGTAAGTTCATGAAGCCAAAAGAGGGCTACTACGAGGCTATGAGCATACTACGTCAAAGGTTTGGAAGACCTTCGATGATTGATGGGAACGTATTCGAGGCTGTTAAGGGTAATGGAAGTCAATTACAGGATGAATCTCAGGCCCTCTCTGAGATTTTGGATAATCTGATGACATAAAAGAATGCATTGGTTTCGATGAATTGCATGAGTGACCTCAACTCGAGTTTTATACTAGAAGTAATAGCAAGACGCCCACCTACTCGACTGCAAAGGAAGTGGGTGAAGATAAGCTCCCGTATGGAGGATGAAGGTATCGAGCCAAAGTTTGATGATATCCTGAAACTAGTAAAAGATAGCATCAGTCTATCTAGGAGCAAGTTGGCCAGTCTATTACATGTCACCCCTAGAATAGAGCAGTCTGAGGGTAAAACGCAATCATTGATGACGAATAGGCCTCAGAGAAATGGATATTGAGAAAGCTCTATAGTGTCTAGTAGTCCATATAGACTTAGTGAGTGTAATAGCATTCGTGGGACATCCCCAACAGGTAGGTTACAAGTTGTGAGCCAGACACAGTTGTGTTTTACACGTTTGCAAGAAGTGCATACAAAGGCGAACTGTGAATCAGTGAGCAAGTTTAGCGGTGAGCTATATGTGAAATCAAGGTGTGACTCCGAATTGTGTGACGATAATGGTGCGGTGAAAAAGCCTGTAGTTGCAACTGGTAAGCCATTGTTTAATAGAGTGTCACAGAGGGGAGTTACAGTCTCGGAGAACAGTTCTGACTCTACAAGTTTACAAGGTATTACTAGTCAGAGTGAAGATATAGAACGTTTAAGGATTTGTGAGGAGGAGCCAAAATTGTCTACTTCTGTTATTGAAGAGTTGGAAAATGATGAAATTGACGGTAAAGTGAATATTCGTGATAATGATCATGATAGTGCACATTTGTCTTTCGTTGATCATGATGAGCCGAAGGGAATGCCTACTACTACTGAGTTGAACGAAGATTCTGTACAACTTGAACGTGAAGTAGAATTAAGTGCAGATGCGGTGGTAGAAGCTATGGATACCCGTGAGACCGTCAGTGAAAATGATCAGCGTGTAGTCCACCTATCAACAGATGTTAGGCCTGAAGTGCAGCTAATCATAAAAGATAGCAGTGGTGGTAATCCTGCAATTAGACAGCCTTCTAAATGTCCAACAACAACAGCCACTGATGCACCGCTAAGTTCATCAACTGGCATCAATCAGTTGTTGGTGTTGTCATCCACAATGAAACAGACGCCCATCAACTCAAGTATCTTATGCAATGACTATGATAGTATAGGTGCATTTGAAAAGACGAAAGATATTGCTGAGTTTAGTGAGGATAAGCCAAGTGTAAACGAGAGAGTAAATGTTAAATTGACTTCCATGAATAAAGGCATTTTTTAGTTCCAAGTTACTATTCGAATGCTATTAACTTTGGTGTAAATTATTTTGTTTCTACACTTGGCTGGTCAGATACGTTGAATGTTTGCTAGTCATCTATATTCTACGATACAATGACATGAGCGTGTCACCGTTCAGATTTGAGGATATAGATGATAGAAGGAGGTCCGGAAATGAACTCTGAGACGATTTTCCAACCTAGCGCGTCAACCTGAGAAGGGTTGTAGGCGTACTGCTGTAAGTCCTACAATTCTTCATGGGTAGTACCTCGATACACAGTCCGTCGTACTTGCTGCGTTGCTTTGTACATATGTTCATGTTGTATATACTGAATTGGTATCATCTTTCATCTGTCTGTTGATAATTTTGTTTGTGTCTGGACGTCTTCCACTTCGATCATCAACCTGAGAAGGAATGTAGGCGTACTGCTGTAGGTCCCACAGTTCTTCAAGGGTAGTTCTTCCTGGTATAACCCATAACATTTGATGTACAGTTTGTACACACGTTAATGTTAAATAATTCAGTGTGTTCCAATTATTGTAATTGTTGGTTAATCTTCTTTGTGCAATCCTGCAACTACAGTTTCTGCCAAAATATCTCAGAGCTTAACATCAAAAATGAGAGTGAGTGGAGCATTTTGAACAGCACATATGTTATTGATCAGAAATGTCAAACACTCCTATTTGCAAGACAGTGATATTTCATTTCATGACAACTTGGGAATAAATTATTAGTGTGGATCCTTAATAAAAAATAAGGGCTAGAGAGGACTAAATTAGGAAAATGTGCTTTCACTCCTACCATCTACAATCCTGTTCAGCTTCTTGTCAAGATGCTACCCCGTGGGCACTACAGAAATTCATGAGACATCATACAGCTCAGCTTGTCCTTCAGATTCTCACTGGAATAGCACTTATGTTCTTCATGACAATTTTTTGTCTAGCTACTCTTCTACTCTATTATATCTTGAAAACCTACACCTTTAATAAACCTAAAATTTATTCTTTTATTTTTATTCTTCGCTCCATTATACTTTTGTTGTGCTGATGGAAGAAAAAACAACACCACTGATTGAGAAGAGGTATGTTAGTGTAGTAGAAGATTGAACAATCAATTCATGGTTGTTTGCTCAAACCCAACTCCTCCATATTATTCGCCGGAGTCATCAAGCTAGCAGTCATCGTCTCATCGTTCGCTGTTCAGTTATTATTATTATTGTATCCTTTAGTTCCTAGAGGAACATAGGGCTTCAGCTGTGCACCTCAATTGCCTTCTGTTTTCTGCCAACTTTTTCACCCCGCTCCAGGTCTGCCCACATGCTTTCATCTCCTCCTCGCATGACCTCCTCCAAGCCAACCTCACACTGACGACCAACTCGCCACCCGCTTCCCTTTCGTATTCCACTCGACCAATGGCTTGTCTAGTGATGGCACTTGATGGTTTCCTCAGAGTATGACCAATCCATCTCCATTTCTTCCTGCCTATTTGTTTCACAATCGGTTCCTGCTGTGTTGGTTCGCTTATTGCCAGAGATACCTTAACGGCGGTACGGTCGAAGTCGGTGACATTTTTGCACGTGTTTGCTCTGAAATTTATTTACTGCTTATTGTCATATAATTCTTGAAATTATGGTCCAAATCTCTAAAAAACGTGTTCGTAGAAACACAATTGTTTTAGATAGTGGCTTAAATTCGGTTATAACTGCATTACCGCCTGGTAATACAGTATCAACTACTAGCTCTCAAAATGGTTTGAGTGCAGATCTCACTCCTGTGATACAGGTGAAAGATGTTCTGTTAGAGAACTCTGAGTTCTGTAAACTAAACCTCCTTTTGAAAGATATGCAGAGGCAAGTAAGTGAAATTCAGAAAAAATTAGATCAGTTTGATAGTATGTCACTGCCAATCTCAAATACCACGGAGAGCCGTTCTGATATTGGCCAGGTTAAGTCTTTACTGGATGTAACTCAAAATAAGCTTTTGAATTTAGACCCAATAGCCTGTCTTTTAGAAAGGCATCCTAAAATATCTCCAGACAACCTAAATAAAGCTGAAAATCTGATTGACTGCTTGGCTACGGAGGTGATGAAGCGTATAACCTCTTCTCACCAAGCTATAGTTTACAACGTCCCAGATTCTCTGCCCCTGAAAACTGTAAGACACAAAATCCTGATTTGTTGCGGCATGGCTAGTGTTCCATGTGAATGCAAACGACTTCGTAAAAAGTCTAACCAGGCTAATTGCCCAATCATTTTTAAATTCAGTAATTCCCTTGATGCTAGTAAGTTTACTAAATGTCAGGATCACTTAAGACTGAATAGCAGTTATAAGTCTATAACCGTAGCTCAGGATAAAACACCGTGTCAGCGCAGAATAATGCGTAGTAATAACCTGGTCACCTCCTCTAGCTTTGATTTACCAAAAAAGGATCGTGCACAGCAACAGACACCTAGTGCTGAAACTAGCATTCAGCAAACTACACAACAACCACACCTGCCAATGGAACTAGGAACTGATTTAGATACCAGTACCCCTGTAAATAAAGCCTCATCGAAAGATGTTAAAATGACTAGAACTTCTGCAAGTTGTTCTAAGAAATTTCCCCCAAACGTAGTAACCTCACCACGATGAACAAATTTCGCAGGGTTGAGACTAATGATGGGGAAGAATACTTTGTATTCAATAAGCCTGCTGAGAGTAAGAATGCCAACAAACCATCACTTGTTACGAAAAACTCCTCTCGAAACATAAGTATATCTGGAGGTGTTCCGCATGCTCCACCTTATAGAAAGTCAGGCTCCAAGACTCCTAAAGTCTTGCAGCCAAAGCACCTTCCTTCACAATTCCCTTTAAGTTATAAAAACAACCCGAAGGTGTATACCGGTATGACGAATAGCAGTTGGATGGGTAGACCTTTTGATGCTATGCCTTTTAACCGTCAACCTAGGCCCAACCTGTACTACCCTTATATCCAGGAACACATGGTAAATTTTCCAGGTGTCCCGAATCACTGGTACGACCCATGGCACCTAGGACCACCTCATTGCACACCAACCCGATGTACAGACACCCAGTCCGACCTCCTTTTCATTCATAAATTCTTGCGGTGCTGACGCACAAATAGATTTAGGTTATGGTGACATTTTAAGCCAGTTTGTAGTATCCCGTGACTTATTCACGATATTGCTAATTAATGCACGTTCCTTAATCAATAAGATATCTGAACTAAGGACATTATTATTAGTCGCCAAGCCTACTGTAGCTCTGATTACTGAGTCATGGTGCTCATCCTCTGTACTTGATGTGCATATAGGTATCGATGATTACACTGTACACCGTGCAAACAGAGATTGCAAGCGTGGTGGAGGATGTCTCATATATATACATAGCTCATTTGTAGTCAGTAAGGTGGAAGATGAAACAATGAATAATGTACCTGACTCACTCTGGGTTGTCTTACATGGAGATAAGTACAAACTTCTCATAGGCTGTGTTTATCGAGCACCAAGCGCAACAAAAGAAACTGATGCGTTATTAGCTAAATCGTTTGCACACGCATCCTCGTTTAGTGCTAATTACAAAATAATTGCAGGGGACTTCAATCTTCCAGAAGTCAATTGGCTAACTAGTTCCGGCCCCCAACGCTTCGACGAATTACTTGCCACTATAGACTGTTATGGATGGCAACAACACGTCCAGACACCTACTCGTGGTGACAACATGTTGGACCTTGTTTTTTGTCATGACACAATCCCAGTATCCACCTATGTTGGTAATCGATTTTCCAGTAGTGACCATAGAATGGTACTCTGCTCTCTGCCTTTCTCACCACTAAATACAGGAAACAAACAAGACTCAGGAAGCACAATATGTCGTAGTTACAAATATACAGACTGGGGATTAGTCCAAGAACTTATTCGACTCTGTCAATGGGATGACTATTTTACCACTGACTCCCTGGAGGCCTTAGTAACCCTGTTTTACAGGAATGTTACCCTTTGTCTAGATACAGTTGCTCCAAAGAAAATAGTGAAATTAAGTAGACACCGAACTGAATATATTCCAAGGGCACACCGTAATAAGTTAAGGAAGCTGAAGAAACAGTACTATTCCACTAAGGATATATCACTATTGCTCTCAATCCACGAGTCTCTTGAATCTATCAAGCGCCTACGCTCTCAAAAGGACCTCGACGAAGAGTTAACGGCACTTGAAAGTACCTCCAAAGTTTATAACTTAACGGCACTTCTTAAAAAACGAATGCAGTCGGCGAGGGAAATCCCATACTTACTTCACGACAAAGTAATCTACAATGAACCTGCCACTATCTGTGAACTCTTCAGTGATTGGTTTGCAAACTTTAGTTTAGAAACACATATGCCTGGTGAAACCGCCCCCCTTACTATCTCTTCCCTTGAAAGCATTGTGTTCACTAATCAGTTAATAGTACAAGCAATTAAAAGCCTTAAACCTTCCACTAGTACGGGACCGGATGGCCTCGCTTCGATAATTTTCAAAAACAGTGGGTGTGATATACCCCTGTTACTTCTTAAATTCTTCTCAATATCTATGGACACTGGCACTTACCCTAGTGAGTGGAAAACTAGCTTCATAATTCCACATTACAAATCTGGTGATAGGGCAAACGTCCGCAATTACAGACCCATAAATATAACCCCAGTTATCTCACGAATCATGGAGAAAGTTGTAAAAGATCAATTGCCAGACTGTGCGTCGGTGGCACGGTGATTAGGACTCTCGCCGACCATGCACATGGTCCGGGGTTCGAGCCCACGCCGACGCATACCTGATATCTATGGTTGGCCTCCGAATTTCGGGCTACCGATATCCACGCTGAAAATTCTACACTTGTACCAAAATTACAGTGTGGAATCAAGCTGTAATCAAAAATAAAAAATACTTAGGGAAGATCTTGTTACAAGGTCTCATCATGGATTTCTCAAAAATAAATCCTGCGTTACTTGCCACTTCGACTTTTTCAACTGCATCACCTGTTATAAAACTACGATAAGACTACTGAAAAAATGGAATAAGTATATCACTGATCTCAACATAATACATCAATAAACTTTAAGCCAAGGGTGCTGTTCACAACAAAGTTATGTAAGAGAATTGACTTCAAGCTTTTTTTCCCAGATATCCGTATTACATTCATCTGATGTCTGGGTTTTTTTAATGCGAAGACAATATTTCTATATCTCTTTATGTGCTACACAAACAGACTTTATAGCAGACTGTTCCGACTGACTCTCATGTCAGAGGGAACAACCAAACTGTAAATTCACCATACATCAAATTATGTGTAATTTATATAATAACTTATCCATGCCTGTACAATTGGTATGTTCCTGCATAAACAGGAAGAAATATATTATTATAGTCGCAAAGCACGTAAGCTAGTCGTTGTTCTCTACTTCGATATATCTAGGGCAGTTGACATGGTATCTCACAGTATTCTCTTTGAGAAGTTGTACTCATGTGGAATTCGCAACCCATTACTGAACTGGTTAAAATCATTTCTTAGCAACAGGGTGCAAATAACCAAAGTTGGATCTGTATCGTCTCATCCTAGGCAGATCTCAAGTGGGGTTGTGCAAGGTAGTGTCCTATGGCTATTTTTATATACAGTCTACATTAACAGCATTTGCAAGTGCTTCACCTCAGGTAAACCATTCCTATATACTGACGACCTCAAAGTCGTCTACTCCTGCTACACTCATGAATTAAGCGATATGGTTACCAAAATACATCTTGAACTAAGTAGCCTTGCAACGTGGTGTGCTGAATCCTGTCTAAACTTTAACGTCGACAAATGCGGCTGGATTTGTATCGGCAACAGTAAGCTTGATCTAACTCTTGAAATAAATGGGCGAAAACTAGCTAAGCTCAACTCAGTCGTAGATCTCGGTATTAGATACTCTAGTAACCTAACGTTCGCTGAACAGACTGATTATGCCAGACGTAAGGCACGAAGGCTGATAGGATGCATAACACGCAATTTCTTTTGTTGTGAAGCTAGGGTTTTATTATACAAAGTATGTGTCCGACCTATCTTAGAATACTGCCCGTTTATTCTTAGCGGACTCAGACAAAATGACAAGCTTAAATTAGAGGGAGTGCAACGGCAGTTTACCCCAAGAACTCTTGGTTTAGAAAGTGGTCTGGAATACCATGAGCGATGCGAAAGACTAAGATTAGAACCCCTTTGGAAAAGACGCCTTAAGCTAAACCTAATCTTTTACTATAAGCTAACTAATCTTCTCTTGCATTCCTCTGAGCCAATAACTAAACCCACCACTGTCACCAGTTACAATCTTAGAAATCATCACAGCCTAGCTGCTATGGAGCACTGCCAGACTTACATGCGGTACAACTTCTTCTTAAATAAGTTTTCAGTCATTTGGAATAGACTACCAGCCAATGTGCGCGATGCAAACACACTTCCAGTGTTCATCTTCTCAGTCACCAGACTGCTCAAAGATGACAATGCACTTCTACGCCTGACTCTTACACCCCCTTTTTCACCCTACATAGATATTTTAGGTTCATTAAACGTGTATTTACAACAAAATACAATTATAAATTTTAATATTATTGGAACTAGATGACACATTTCTACACAGGACAGTAATATTAGTTCACACATAATATGAAAGTTAGTAAAGCGGGACTAGTTAGTTAGTGCACAAAAATAACCATAGTTACTAAATAGAAAATATATGTATATATTTATTAATCACTCCTTTAGGACTCCTCTTGCTTTCTTTTGCGTTGCTGTTGTTTGTCTTCTTTTTTGTCTCAGCGTTTTAGCCTCCATTTGACTTTTTGAATGAGAATGAAGAATGTGGATGTTTGACCATTTACAATGACAAATGATCTACAAACATTATTGGTTCCGCATCTTTCAGTTGCCCAGTTAATAACGAATTAACTTTCCCCACGACGCAACCCGGATTACATTTGTGGAATATACTCTTATACCAATGGAAAAGTATTAATTTGTAATACAACGTCACGATTCTTTCTTTTTTTGGAAACTCCCATGTATAAGAAAACATATACTATCATTATTCTACAGTGAGTGCACTCTTGATGTTGCGATGAAAATGCTGGCAAAACTATACAAGTGTATTACTTGTTTTAATTATTACTCAATTTGGACGTAAATCAAGAATAAGATTCGGTTTTGTACACACCTAGGTTATATTGTGGGATTACTTTAAGCCTTATTTTTTCCTAAGTATTTTTAATCCATCCAAAACATGCTTGGGTTTTTTTGTTAATGCAAAGTCAATATTCATATATTTCATGATGTGCTCCATTGAATGACTGGTTATCATATTGTTCCCACAATCCATAGACAAAAACGTCAGCAACCATGTAATTTAACCATAAACCAAATCTATGAAATTTAAATAATGCTTATCCATTCCTGTACATTTGGTGTGTCCTACACAAGTAGGAAAAAATGTGTATTTTATTAAAACATTATTATTAATTATGATTGCAAATCGTATATGTAATTTATCATATTGATGATGCCTGTAAACTGGCGTCCCTCATGTACAAAATGAGAATATATTATTATTATTATATTCTGTTGTTAGTGTTATTTTTGCAGTTCTCAAAGTTCTTCCAGC